TTATAATATTAATTAATAGAAAAAATTTATGAATTGGACTATCAATGAAAACTTAAGAAAAAATAATAACAAACCCACTTCTCAACGAAAAAAGCAATCAATTTGCCATTGGACTATCACCGACGTGGAACATGTCGGTGATAGTCAAGGTGAATGAATCTCCACAACACTATTCATGGAGTCATCAGCAACAAGACTCTTGTTGCTGAAACATCTTGGATTGACTATTTCATAAATTATCAGTAACAAGAGTCTTGTTGCTGAAAATAAGTTGATTCACTATTCATAGAAGTATCAGCAACAAGGCCCACATTGCTGAAAAGGGTGCACAACTCCGGTAGACAATTTCGGTGACCATTTTTAGCAACATAAACCATGTCGGTGACAATAAACTTTCACCGACATACTTCATGTTGCTGGAAAGGTTGCACAACTCCGATTGCCAGCTCCGGTAAATTTTTTAGCAACATAGACTACGTTGGTGAAACTTCACTTTCAGCATCATAGTGCATGTTGCTGAAAAGGGTCCAAGGAATCACCGACGTGAACCTTGTTGCTGATGTATCAGCGAGCACAATATCTCCAACAAAAACATCAGCAACATGCATATTATTGCTAGAAGACTTTCAGTAACATGGGATGCGCTTTCACCGATGTGCTCCCATGTTGCTGCAAAATGGTTTTTTAGTAGTGTCATGAGCTATTTTGTGGCATAACGAAGGAAATGGATTATAATAGAAAAGTTTTTCAGCCTTATAGTGCTCTTAATTTGTTGATACATATCCCTTGTTACAATCTAACTGCAAAAAAGAGTAAAAAATCCAAATTTCTACCAAAAAAAAAAACAGTAAAAAATCCAAATGCACAAATTGCAAAAAAGAGACTGCACTAATTGCAAAAAAGAGACTGCACTAATGATTTGTTCCCATCAAAATGAAGGGATCTTTTCGAACAATAAAGTCGACAACCCCCAAAGACACCAGAATTGAACTCTCATTATCGCTCTTTTACCAAGTACCTTGACACCAGATCGACCACCATATTCCTAACACGTGGCTAAACCAACAGAGCCAGACGGTCCCTATTCACCCTACATTGACACATTAGTAAGATTCTTGTACTGGGATCTACTAAATCCACATGGTGTACGTCACCCGAGAACATCTGACACAGAGCTATCACGGCTATTTTGGTCGGTTATCTGTTCCCTTGATTAAAGTTTTTTTTTTTTTTTTATTAAAAGGATTACAATTTTTGAAA